TTTTTCATAAACTATATATATATATATATATATATATATATATATATATATATATATATATATACCAATGAAAGCATGCTGCATACAATTCGAAATACCCAAAATTTTCTGATGTATCTATTTAAAATGAAACATGTCAAATTCATAAACGTTTCCCCACTTATTCTTTATTTAATCAATCAGTTGTCTTTAATACATATTTTTCCAATTCGCACGCACGCACACATATACTCACGCACACACATAGACACGCAAACGAAACAGGTCGTGGCAAAAGAAGGCTTATTGTTGTTCTACTATTTCTTTCTCTTTTAGTTCTAAGTTATCAAAATCTTAATTAACTGTTCTTTCAGCGAGATGGTCCACCTCCCAATTATGCTTTAGTAGTAAGGGAAAAACTGAAATAAACCTTTCCAGAGCTTTGGTTCGGAAAAAAGGGGGAGCATCGTATGGCCACCATGTTGACTTGACCTGACACCAATCGATTTCTTTTTGGGGGTGTAGTAAAGAACAAAGTTTTTGAGAGAAATCCCAAAATAGCGGACGAATTAAAAGAGACATTTTAGAATTATTAATTGAAATTCATGCAGATCGGTATTTGTGTCGTGCTGTGTCTCATAGTGTTCTGGAGAGATTCGAGAAATATTGCAAGGTTAAAGGAGGACATTTTGAGCAATTAAGAAAATTAAATTGTTTAAAAATATAAGTAAAGTATTAAACAAATGTACATAAACAGATTTAACCAAATATATTTGTAACAAATAAATATAGATTTAATAGGTATTATGTGCATACTTCCTAAGTTTAAGCCTACCTTGGTATACACACGCGCACACACACACACTCACACACACATACACACACACACACACATATATATATATATATATATATATATATATATATATATATTTTTCAAATAGGAGAAAGAAATCCACAATTCGCCCTTGCATGGAGTATTGCTGCCATATATGGTCTGGCGCCCCTTCTGTTTGCCTCAGGGTTCTTGATAGGCTCCAGAAGCGGATATGCAATATGGTTGGCCTGCCCTGGCGTCTCGTCTACAGTCACTTTCTCACAGACGCACCGTCGCCTCCCCTCTGTCTGTTCTATAAATACTTTCATGGAAATTGCTCCGAGGAACTGCATTCGCTGGTTCCCCAAACTTCATGAGTTCAAGCGCCCTACAAGGCTGGCATCCCGCTCTCACCCCTTCACTGTCGAAACTCCTAAATGTAGCCGTCTCTTCTACTCTAATAGCTTCATGTCTCGCACCTCTCGCCTGTGGAACTCTCTTCCCTTCTCCTGTTTCCCTGAGAGTTATAATCTCCAGCTATTCAAGTGTAATGTCAATCGACATCTCCAGTTGCCTTAATCTATCTACTACCCTCATCCTTTCTTCTATCACTCCTATCTGCTCTTCCTATTTTCTGTAACCCCTTGCGTCCTAGTGGCTCCCCGCCTTGCTTGGGGTGAAATGCTTAAAAAAAAAAAAAAAAAAAAAACTAATGGAGTAAAAATCCACAATTCGTACCATTTACTTTTTCTAAAAATGTGCTCAATACAAAGTAGAACAAAATATTCATATAATATCTTTATTATACGAGATTATAATAAAAACATTTTACATGGCTACATAAAAGCTTTCCTGTTTCAATACTATGCTTGTACTTCCTCAGGCGATGGTTGATAACTGGTGATAAAAAGGATTCTTTAGTAAAATTTAAAAACCTCTTTTCCGAAAGTTAAAGGTGGGGACATAAGGTTAGAATTAAAATTATACGTGTGGGTATGTCTCGATTAACAAATTGAAAGTCAGATCTACGGTAAATAGAAAAATAAGTTCAGTGGATAGAGGTGGGTAAGATAATTTTTCATGCCACGATAAACCGGCCCTTTAGGTATGTTATCATTGACGAGTGTACAACAAATGTATCATGGATGTAGCCAAATATGACGTATGGGGTGAGGTTAATCAGACATAAAGTTATCAGAAACAAATGTAATATATATATATATATATATATATATATATATATATATATATATATATTCCTGAAGCTTCTTAAAGCGACCTGCAGATAAAATTCAAAATGTGGGACATCTATATACGATGCAAATAATACTGAATAAACGGCAAAATACAACAGTATTAACATTGAATAAACCAAATAAAGTAATTATCCGTAGAGGATGGACCATTATATACTAATAAAATGATGGCTATAAAATTGTAATACATAATTGTTTTTTTATAAAAAAAAAAAAAACTATATTTTATGGTAAAAGATAGACTGTGTCGGCGTCTCACCGTTAATTCACTTATTTGGTTTAACAGAATTTTTTTTGTTAGCAAACTTGAATTTATGGAAATTATCCTGTAAACAGAGAAACATAGATCATCTAAAGATTTACAAGTTCGAGTTTTTTTTAATATTTTTCATTTTACTGTAGGGGTTTTGTTGACTTCATTTAAGTACCAAAAATATTTAGAAAGGGACGACCTATTTCTGCATGCGTTGTTGTTAAAAGATGATATATACTGATACCACATAGCTTTGAAGTAATTCTTGGTATTGTTGATATAAAATTTTTAACTAATGGTTTCTTTGTAATAGAAATCGTACTTAGGTAAAAAGGTAATCAGTTTGACGCCTAATTTGCAAAGGACATTAATTAGGATTACTGAAGTTACACATGTTGGTATCATTAGCGTTTGCTGCTTTGTAATGCCAATTATTACTTATATTTTTGCAATGATTTAAAATGTTATTATTATGTTTTTTAATATTTTTTTCAAGATTATCTGTACAACTATAACTTAATTTAAGTGTATTTTTATTAAAAATCTTACTAACTGGATTATATCTGGGGAAGTGTTTTTCAGTTAACTCAAGAAACATCTGCCCTAACTTAGTACTAAACATTTGGTTAAATGGGAGTGTGTACCAAATGATTTTTCTGTTTCTATTTTTATTCTTACTATCACTGTTATGTTTAATATATTTTGTGTCAGGGCACTTATAGATACTATTTTTTCAGGCAGTGTTATAAAATTTACTATGTTTGTAAAAGACATCTTCACTGGAAGAGTTATTACTAATTCTATATTACATAGTGGAGGGTATGTATTTGATTATTGATGGATGGAGATTAGAATTTGGGTAGATTTTCGAATGTTTTCATGTAGAGTTGGTATATATTAAAAACTAGGTCTAGTGTAACATCAATGAATGTGATGGATAAATTGTTGTCTAAATTATGCAAAAATGAAAATAAGAATGACGTCGCAATTTAAAAGATAAATTTACCAAAATTACACAAAGATACATATCTTAAAATACTAAAGAGTACATTTATTCAATAAAATCGCCATTATCTTCCCTCCAGGCCTTCAGATGACTCTGCGGTATTTCTTCTGGACTGCCTCCTTGTTTAACCCGGTGAATGTTGCCATAATCCTTGTCTTCTGTCTATCTTTGTTGTTAGGAATTTTGTAGGTTTCTCGATCAACTGTGCCACAGACATAATCAATAGGGTTGCAATCTGGGGAGTTAGGTGGCCAGATGTGAGGGGTGATTTGGTCGCATGAAATTGTCTGACAGCCATGACAGGGTTCTTCTGATTGTATTACATGGTGCAGAGTCCTGTTACCAGAAATATTGTCTTCCAGCAGTCATCCTCTTGACCCAGAGCAGCACTACTTCCACAAGGCACTTGATGTAGACATTCGTGTTGAATCTGAGACCCTCACCAACTAATTCAAGAGTTCTTTTCTTATCAGAACGATCAGATATTTGGCGTACCTTCATAATCACTATTAGACTCATCTATCTCTTTCTGAATCCTCTGCACTTTCCTCAGGTTGACACCCAAACACTCTGAAACGTTCGTATTGATGCTTCCGGGGCGAATGCCAAGCAGTACAGAATGTTGTTTCCAAAGTTCTGAAGGAGGGAACTGCGTCATCGTACTCATTTTCTCGCAGACGATTTCCAACTGACCCTACTATACTGTGCAGTCAACAAAATCAAAAACAACGCGCATGCGTGAAATAAAAAAAAATGATATGATAAAAATTTACCCATTGCTCCTTGCATATTTATATATGGATATTATATAGAAATCTCTATATAAGATTGTTAGTGCGCAAGTGAATGAAAAATATGAAAAGACTACCACATAATCGATTCGTCTCTAGAAAAAAAATCTTTTTCTGATTATAATTGAAAATCGATGTAAAACTTGAAAAATCGATCGGAAATTATCGCCGATGTTTGTCGTATTTGTTCCTATCAATGTATATTATTTTTTTTCTTAATCATTTCATTCACAAGCAAAGTGATAATGTCACTGAAATGCAAGTGGCTACAGAGAGTGACAGAGTATGAAAAAACCAGAAACTCAATCCTAAACTAGCAACAAAGGATAAACAACTACTCTTGTTCAATAAAAAGGGAATGAGTGTAAATCGGTTGATAGGCGAACCTGCCTAAAATTGACTCCATCGATAAAACTATTATTGAACTAATTCCTGGAGACTAAATGTCTCACATAATTCTTTTCAATTTTGTCATTCGTATAAAGTTATATTTTTTAAATACCAAAACGGTGTGAGAGATGCAGTGAATGGAGTAAAAATAAGAATGACATTGAATATCATATTTTTTTTTTTTTTATAAATGAAATTGGTGAATGAATATATTTATAATCTGCCAACATTAAAATATTTTTTAAGGGCGTAAATTTTGAAACTTCACCCAAAATTACTGCGTATTAACCTTCAAACCAAATACTCGTAAACAAAAAAAAAATGACTTACATTTAAACTCTTTATGTAACCTTAAAAATATGCTAGAGTTTGCTAAAAAAAATTTGTGCGACATGAAAGCTACCTACATCTTTCGCTGGATATATATTTACATAACAAAGTGCATTTTTTTATCGCCGCAAATTCCATAAATATGTTTACTTCTCTAAGCGATATTTCGGATATTGTGATGTCTACTGCTTTCCTTTCTTTAAATTTGCTTTTTGCAAATTTGCTCTTGTGTAAAGCAAATGAGAAACAATTACTTTACTTTTCTGTTTATTGCTTTCATTGAAATGTTCTTGCGCAAAGAAGAGGAGGGGTATTATTTCAAATAGGATTAATTAACGTAGATAACAAGGATAATGTAGATAACAAAAAAATTGTGTGAAAATTATTGTTTAAATTCATTCATTTTGATTAATTAATAACTTTTTTTATTTATCTATCTAGCTAGCAAGCTAGCTAGCTAGCTATATGAAATATTGAGCTAGCTAGGTTTTCATATCTATCTATCTATCTATCTATCTATCTATTGTGTCATCCAATTTTCAATATTGAGCATTATTTCCTATATATATATATATATATATATATATATATATGTGTGTGTGTGTGTGTGTGTGTGTGTGTGTGTGTGTGTGTGCTTATTGCGCTATTTCAAAAAACAATCGTACTGAGTTTGATGATCAACTACATCTGGCAGCAAGGCCTCTGATCGAGAGGTTTTGAGGGGCGTGGAACAACTTCTTAATTGCTGGTTGACTGCCCCTGAACCCGTTTATGCGGGTTCAAAGGGGGAATATTTTTGGCCGAGCCTATGGGCTCGGAGATCCCACGTTAAACCCGGCCTTGTGCCACATGTAACCCTCGTGGGGGGGTAGCTAAATATCATTTCTTAATTGCTGTTGCTCCCAGGTCCATCCTGACCTACCTACCTACCTACCTATCTATCTATCTATCTATCTATCTATCTATCTATCTATCTATCTATCTATTTATCTATCTATTTACATGCTGATTATAAGCGATTTACAATTTAAATTAGTCCGACTGTTGCTTAATATTTGTGCAAGAATTGGTATTCAAGTACGCATAGGTATTTATTCTGGTATGTATACACAGCCAAAAAAAAAAAAAATCCAGTCAAGCAATTATTTTGTTTTTAAACAAAACAAGCTTAATCTGATTAAAATCTTTTTATATTTTTCCAATTTGCACTTACCCTGTAGTAAATTCGAAACAACATTATGAAGAAACTAGGGACTCTCTATATATGAATAACATTAATGTTATCAATGCCATAAAGTGAAAAACTTTCAGCTTGGCATTTTTCGGAACGCTCAAAATTCTGACTGCAATACACACACACATACACACACGTACACACACATATATATATATTAATTTGATATAATTATTGGTTAAAAGTTCTCACTCTCGAGACAGAATATTTCTGGTTGTAAACTGTGTGGACATCGAAGTAAATGGTGTATGTGTCTGTGTGTCTCGATGTTGATGAGTTTCTGCACGTGACCCATGTCTGTTTCAATGTACAAATTCGTTATGTAGGGAATTATAGAGAAGGCAGGTCAAAATACTGCATAAATTAATTAATGAGCATCAAATAGGCAAACCCATCTGCAGGATTTGTGAATCAGGATTTGAAATTTGGCTTTCGTTTGAGAGAAAACCCTTCCTCCCTCTGAAGAGAAAAACCTATTATCGTTTTGCTAGAGTAGGTAATCAATGCAGATGAAAATAGCTAGGTATTGGCGCTTTGCAAATGGTAATGCTCAGTGTTAGCAATTTGTTCTTTTGAATATTTTTTGTTCTTTATCAAAAAGATTTTCTTCTCGCATCATGATGGAAAAATGTAACTCTTATCAAGCGTTGCTTTTCTTCAATTCGTAATATGTCTTTACCCAGGAAAAAGAAAATTTCCGTTCTGGACTCAGATACGAAAAATATGTCGAGATTGTCAGTTTTATGGGAGAGCTAACGGCAACTTTTCCTGCCATCAATTCTGATCGTTTTTTTTTTGTTTGTTTTTTTTTATGTGTAACGTTAGGATTGTTGATTTTTTTTCTTTTTTAGGAATTCTTGCCCTGAACCAATTCCGTCGCTAGTGGCTACAAGATGGAAGATTCAATCGATAAAACACCTGTCTAGATCTTTGAAGTTCGTTTTCATTCTGAACATATCTAATAATTTTATCGTGTAATCATGCTGATCATGATGATAAAAACAGTAACAACAACAACAGCAATAATAATAATCCGAAAATAGTAATAATAATAATAATAGAAGAAGATGAAAAAAAAAAGAGTAAATGACGCATATATGGTGAAAAATAGGCATTCTAAAGTAGGAACAGTTATACACAAGCAACTGTTCATCCTTGGTATGATGATAAACTACATCCGGCAGCAAGGCCGCTGATCGGGAGATTGGAGAGTTTGAGGAAGGTGATAGCGTCTGCGGTTGTTCCCAGGTTCACCCTGACCCCGGGGTGTTACCAGATGTTAGGGTCCCTGCTATGGGTAAATAGTGACCCCCCAAAAAAAACACTATAAAAGTATAAAAATACAATTTTATAGTAAAAATATCAGCAATACATTTTTATATGAAAAAAATTACCAACAATACAATTTTATATGAATAATTTAGCAGTAATATATATATATATATATATATATATATATATATATATATATATATATATATATATATATATGAATAAATAAAATTACCATCTATACATTATATCTGTAGTTGAAGGCAAACAGTTGTTTTCAAAATGTATTTAGTTGAAGCCATAAACTTGTGTTTAAAATATTTAGATTTTGGCATTAAATAACCCATAGGGATTGATATGTCACTAAAATCAACCAATGAACACAAGGAACTGCGCAAAGCTCTTGCACTCGACTATATAAACAAGTATAAGAGTATACCAGAGGCTGTCAACATAGAATAGGCTGTGCTCCAACAACGCAAGGCCAAAACATTAACCTCAGAACTCGAAACGAAAATATTAATCTAAGAACTCGAGTCAGTTTCTTAAATAGCCTTGTCAAATCTATATTTTCATAGTGACGCCATGTCTGGCGCCCATCTCATTCACATATATCGACACAACTGTTTTCTCAAATCATTGATTAAAATGGATTCAAACGAATGGACCCAGTTAGTCTTAAGAGGTCTCTTCTTTACCAGATGAAAAAAAATCATTTGAAGTGCTTAAATAGATAGCACATCTAATTCGAAGAGAAAATAATGACTTAGTCAATACATTACCCCAAAGAAAAGATTAGGAAGGAAACACCCAATCAATAAATGGAAAGAGCGATAACAGTTAATGGAATTGAGACACTTATTTTCCTGGAAAACAGTTTTTAAAAAAAAAAACTCAAACGACGGTAATGATGACTGTTCGGTCAATGAATACCAAAAATTTCCTTATAAGGAAACGGCTAATATTACGATTACCAACCTAGAAAATGTGAAAAAATGAGTTACCCTAGATAAAAAGTCCACCCGGTCATGCGCAGAGACATAATTTGACTGTTAATCAAAAAGAAAAGACCTGTTTTTTTATGGATATGGCGGTAATAGTAGAACACTAAGTTAAAATAAGAGAGAAAATCAGAGAAGGTTTATCGATTGCTAATAAATGTATGGTTCGTGTAATTTATGACGGTGCCTGCAATATATGATGCATTTGAAAATATTAAACTTAGGGTCAAATCACTCAAAACACAGCGGTTCTCGTTCGATCACCGAAATAAGCAGAATTAACACAGGTTACTACTTAAATGGAGGGCTTGGGAACATCGGGTCTTTTAAACAACCTCCTAAAATCAGAAATATGTTTCGGTTGTAAATAACGCACAAAGAGTTGATAAACCGTAAAAAATACAAAAAAAAAAAAATCAAACGAAATCGATAGAAACAGGATTAAGTGATTAATAAGTTCAAGGAAGAACACTGACTTCTCAGACCCCATAGTTATTGAGGAATCGGAAAACCGAATTCGAATTCCAGTCGAATCCATTATATTCACTTACATGCTAGAGAGGTATCAATCCTCTTCTTCTCCCCCACTTGCTATGGGTAAATAGCAGAACAGATCGGGTTCTATAGCCTTGGATGACAACTGGTCTATCGCAGAAAGAAATCGCAACCTATTGCGCAAAAAATAATCTGCCTTGTCAGTTATGTATCGAAAGATGCATGATCGCTTAAGCGTGTATCACGCATGGGCCATAACTGACTGAGTTACAGAAAACTGCAATGATATATAGGAAATATCTGAAGGTTTGAGAAGACATGATCTTATTCAGTTTCTCGCAGTGGCCATTGGAAAATCACAAAACATAATAATAACAACTTGTCACCATATCGCTCGCATTTGGCTGTGAGGCATGAGCCTGGTATACTCTTATTAGATGGAAATATTGGGTTTGTTACATTTATACTGTAGCGCCACTTTATTGTTGCACTGCTCTCTGATTCTATAATTTCAATATCAACACCGCATTATTTGTATCGTAATTACTTCTGTATAATACTCACTAATTTCTAGATTTTAAAGCGTGAAATAGAGGAGTGAGTATTATACAAGATTAATAAATAAGAACGTCTTTTTACATAGTCCTGTAGGCATTATGGAAAGTACGTTACATCAATAATCCAAACCGACATATGTGTAACAATGTTGTTGATATATATATATATATATATATATATATATATATATATATATATATATATATATATATATGTATTCATTCAGTAACCCTTCCTAGGTTACAGCATATAACCTACAGAAAAAAGTAAACTAGTACGAAAAATTAAAATTAAAATTTGGAAACACGAAGAAACGAAATTTAAAAAAAATGAAAATTAAATGAACGTATAAAGCAGGAAGCAAGGGGAAAAAAAAGATAAAATATTAGAAAAGAAAACAAAAAAGCAAAAGAAATTATAGACGAAAATATCTGCAGCATTCGAATCAGACAATCATTTCCTAAATTATGACGAGAGAGATGTTACCAAGAAAAATATTGTTGGAATGGTTTAGGCACAAAGTAAATATCAGGCGCCAAACCGCCCAGAAAAATTCCTTCTTCTTTGTTTAAAGTCAGTTCTGAGGTTACACTCTTTGGGTTAATAAGGCATCTGGACAACTTTGCTTTGCTATCACGAAAGCAATGAGATCGAATTTTGAAGTTTTTATAGATATTAACTGGAAGCCAACCCATGAAGACGTCGGTCATAGACGCAGCAGTAGCCAAGCAGAACTGAAACCTGTCTTAAACGGTAGCACTTGCAATCAAACAGAGTTTATCATGGGTAAGATTTGGTGAGAAATAGAAGAGACGGGCACTGAAGTATTGTGATCTGTGCCCGGTGTGCGATGATTTCGTCTATGCCTGTTGCGAGATGGTATTTATCAATTCACCCACAGGAATTGAATGCGGCACAAGGCCTTTTTAATGTGGGTATGTCCGAGCCCGTAGGCCCAGCCAAAAATAAAACCCATCTAAACCCGTCCAAGCAGGCTAGTTCCGTCAACCTCCCCCAACGAAACCCTACCCTTCGGCGGAGCTTCGTCCGGGTTCCTCTCTGCAAGCAGAGAGTTCGACAGACACCCGGCTCGGCAGCTCACAAAGCGCAGATACTACACTTTGATCCTAGCCACCGGGCCGAGCGGGTATTCTTTTTAGAGATATGCCTGTTGCGAGATGTTTACATCTTTCTTCGTTATTTACAAGAAGTTGTCTGACATAGAAAAAAAAAAGTCTGCTCCTGTGTAAAGGATGCGGAAAAGAAAAAAATTTTAGGTGTTGCCGTGAATTTCTAGCTGAAACTGAAGGAAAGTGAGCTAAGCGAAAGAAAATATTCTGACTTTTCCCAAGAACTTAAGCAACTGAAAAACATTAATATAATAGTCATACCAGTAATCTTCTGGACACTGTGAACATTTTCTGTTCATTTTCAATAAAAGAGAAATTTAATATGAAAACCCAAAGAGGAACAAAATTCATTTTGGCAAAAATAATTGCTCATTTGCATAAGAGCAGCCTATACAATATACGGGATCAGTCTGAAAAGTATCCAACTATATTATATATCTGGAAGACAGCAGTGGTTGGGCGGCTCATGGTTTAATTTGGGAGCAAACCTGAGGTGACGTTGCCGCGTAATTTTGGACATAACACCGTCGGCCGTGAAATGTTCCGGAGTTTGTAATTCTTGTATTCAAAATGACGACATGTGTCAAGTGCGTTTTTTATTTTTTTCAAAACATAGCATCACCAAACTTATCGGCTCCACTACAGTCCTGTTTTGGCTCACTTAGATTCTTAACTTTTTCTCGAAGTTAAAACCGCCTTTGAAAGAGAAAATGTTTTAGACTCTGGGCGTGATTAAAGAGAATCTAACGTCATCTTTGAAAGATAAATACTTAAGACTGTGGGCGAAATTAAAGGGAAGCTAATATCACCATTGAAAGAAAAAACTTTTAAACTCTTGGCGAGATGAAAGAGAGGCTAACAACGTCTTTGAAAGAGAAATATATTAGACTGTGGGCGAGATTAAGGAGGATATAATAGGCTCGAAAGAAGAATTTTCATTATTTACATTATTCGAACTATTGTCCTCATCTTTGTCGCCATGTTTATTATAAAGTTTCGGCTTTTGTACGCTCCGGCCTTCTTTAGGTGGTTGGGATGTCGAACTGAACCCTTTATTTCGCTCACTGTTCTAGTTCCACGTGCCATGGGTAATGGATATAAGTTATCAGTTATCTCCTGTTAATTCCCCTTTCCAAGTTCTCAACTGCCTTAACCTCAAATACACATGGCACAGTAGATAAAGGCGTTAGTTATATTCAGTGACAGGACCCAAAGAGTGTGAGTTCAATGCCTGGTTAAGGCAGTGGAGATTTGGAGAGGGGAATTAACAGAAGGTAACTGATAACTGACATCCATTAAACATGGCACGTGGAACTAGAACAGTCTATACCAGTGAGCGAAATAACGGTTTTAATTCAACATTCCAACTACCTGAAAAAGGCCGGAGCGTACAAGGGCCGAAACGTTGTAATAAATATGGCGATAAAGATGAGGACAATATTCCAAATAATTAAAATAGTGTACATAATACCTCATCTCAGAAATATAGACAGATACTGAAGAATTTTCAGTCTCTTTGGGTTCAAGGTATGATTTTTAAAGAGAAATAATAGTGCGGCACTATTTATCGTTACTATTAAATGCAGGTTTACATTAACGACCGAATTCTTCTATGAAACAATTTGATGCGAACTGATGCCGTATAACGAAATGAGCCTAAATTTCTCAATATCTGTCTCCTCACCAGATTTATGTTACTTTTACAGTGAAGAAATACTGAAAGACTTACAAGTCCTACCAAAGTTCATTATTGACAGTCACAATTTTAACATCCTTGGATATGCATCTATTAAAAAAAAAATGTTCCAACCCAATATATATAAGGTCTGAGATTTCTCTCTCTCTCTCTCTGCTCCTTTCGTTGTCTTCTGATCTCCAACTGTTAGTTTCAATTTATTCACGTTTCAGGACTCCTCTTTGAACAGTTGGCGCCGACAGCAACGATCATCAGGTAGCTGTTCCCAGTTCATTTAATCATTCGACCGTAGTCGGGATCATCGAGACATTTTGAACGATCCTTTCTTTAGCTGGGTCGATGCTCGTGAGTTTGACTTCTTTTTTTTGCAGACGTACTTGAAACGTAGTGAAGAGCTGACCGTACAAAATGTATTTCGGTGTCCGGCCATCATGTATTCGATGTATGTGACACAGTCATCAAAGATGACTTTGACAGATGTTACGATGTGCGCTCCAGGAGTCTACTTACCGCAGCACAGTTATGTTGTTAACTTTGTGATGCCGTGTTATGCCGAGGATACATCGTAGGCAGCGGAGATGGAAAGGATACGAAGAATACAGACCTGGAATATTTTGAGATTGGTGAGCAAGGCCAGCTGATGGTTGTCCCAGAATCTCTTTTTCAATGTGTCATCTATACACTGTAAAAGTCCATAAATCTGTCTGTCCGAATGGCTACACGAATTCCTATGAATTATAAATTTAATAACTTACATGAAAAAGAAAAAAAAAAAAAGAAATATGGAGTGGTTGTTTTATCCCTCAAAATAGCGAAATATCCTCTGCGATTTTGAGATATCTATGATCTTTAATTCTGCTAAGATATAATAATGCCTGATTCCATTGCCAGGTCGAGATCGTATGCGCTTTAGGCGGGGCTTCTGTTTTACTCTTAAAATAAGGGAATATATATAAAACCATAAAAAAAGAGTTAGGATTTAAAATGTTATCATTGGTTTTGGTAAATTCACGAAAAAAAAAGAGGGGAGATTTTTTACCTTTGAATTTTTACAAAATTTCATTTGATACAAATCAGATCATAATAAACAATATTTTTGTTTAAATATCATTAATATGTCACTTCAAAGAGTAATATTCGCACTATTTTAATATGCATTTTTTTGTTCTTTTCATGTTTTTGTTTAGCTTTTAGTGTGTTTAAATAAAGTTTGGAAATTTGAAGCTGTATATAACATTAGGACTTTAGATATAATAAATCCTGTTGGTAGACTGGACGAAATGAATGAATGTAGTTTTTATTTTATCTCGCTAAACTTGCAGACATTAATATGTCTAGTAAATTATCATAACGATCGAGTGTATTCTGCAGCCAGATAAAAAATAATTGGGTTTTGTAAATAAAGGGCTGTGTAGAGAATTATAGTGAAAACGCACACACATCCTTTACACGCTGACTATTGTTCTTATATTTCTTGCTATTATCGCAACGTTTCGATAGTTGTACCCTCTGGTCGTCATCAGATGTTGTCAATCCCGGTAACTATCATAAAAAATCGGTACGGAACTGCCTCATATGAACGTTGTAAGGCATTTGAACACTTCTAGATACATTTTCATGGCACAAACATTTTTTTGCATATATATATATATATATATATATATATATATAGTGTCCCAAGAAAAGTTCTTACAGGGAGAAATAAACTACATCCAATTTCAAAATTTAATTACGTAATCCTAACTCAACATAACTAAGCAGTATTTGTACCTAGCATGAAGTAGGTCCCCCATTTGCTAGTTTCGGTGCTTGTATTCTATTTTTCATGGATACGATCATATTGTCAACAATCGTCTGATCCATATTTTGCCACTCCTTTAGCAATATTTCTTTCTGACGTGATTTTGGTTGCACGCTCTCGAAGTTTTCGGTTAAGGTGATCCCAAACGTGATCTATGGGATTCATATCAGGTCTTATGTCTACTCATAGCAGTGACTTGATTCATTCGCACCCGGCCAGAAGTTCCTGCCGGCTACTCAAATGTTCGAAAGCGTCACCGCGGAAAACAGAAACAAATGCCGTTAATTCCCGGTGACTCAGCGTTTTTCAGAGAACGATACACAAAAAGCAAAACAAATGAAATATAAACATACACAAGTCATCCTAACTAAAAATAATGACCAGAACCTACTTTATATACACATGGTGTCCAAATTAAACCCATGTGTACAGTCAAAATGCGGAAGGTATTTTTTAGTCATCAACCAAAAGACATAGCCAACCGGCAACGATGCTAACCGCAGCCGACATAAACACAGCCAATTTCTTCCAATAAATAACTTGACCAACTTAGAGCGACATGCTTCCCCTCTCACCTTCACCTGGGCGACCCTCCTCACTGACGACAAGAAGCAACCAAAACTAGCTGCAGGCCGAACCAACTTCAGCAGCAGCAGCAACGGGCCAAGTCAACTTCAAAAGCAGCAGCAGCGGGCCAAGCCAACCTCAGTAGCAGCAGCATCAGGCCGAACCAACTTCAGCAGAAGCAGCAGCAGCAGCCGGCCAAGCCAACCTCAGCCGCATCAGCAGCAACCGAACATTATATACGATAGTCCTTTTAAGGACTACCTAAGCCACATGATATGCGATGGTCCTTTTAGGGACTACCAGGTCACGTTATATGCGATAGTCCTTTTAAGGACTACCTAGCCACGTGATTGTCGATGGCCCTTTTAAGGACTAAATAACCGTCTTAATGCGATAGTACTTCTAAGGACTACCAAGCTGCGTCTTACACGGCTGTCATCCTAAGGACGAACGGGCTACCCCAGCACTGTCTACGCCTATCCTCTCTCTTTAGAAACACCGACGCGCTCTTTTTTAAAGGGCGTACATCCGGGAATCGACTGTACCTCGAATACTGCTGTTCCATCTGCCTGCCTCCAAGCTGCCGTCTTGAACCCAAAAACGATCTTTCGATTGGCACTCCCTAACTTCGTGATCGAACTACACCAAACAATTCCTGTACCTACATTTGTCCAGATCGACAAATAAATCCGACGTTTTTTATTCTAAACCTCTGCCTTTGTTCCTCATTGTCTTAGCTGTTCACGCCTTTCTACGTAAAGCTTCTGGGGGCGACATCCTTATCGGCCCCGCAAAAATTCCTTGCGATTCCTTCCTAAGACTTTGCTACTTTGCTCGTATGACATGTCGCTCCATCTTCTTGAAAAGGTAGACTTTCTTGTCAATCTGATTGGTTTCAAATAGTGGGATTAGTCCTTTCATTAATATTTGACAGGATTTTGAACTATTCAACCGCTCGTCAATAAGAATCAGCTCAGATTTCCCTCCAAACCAGACAGCGCCTCTCACCATTACCCCAATCCCTCCATTTTCACGGTGCCTGCAGATATTCAGTGTTCCAAGTCTCATTCTGATTTCCCCAAACATAAACCTATCTTGAATTCGAATATTGGCCCAATTTACTTTCATCTGACCAAATTACAGACCGCCAAATTTCATAATCTTTGGTTTCGAATTCTCTCGCCCAGCCCATACGCCCGTTCCTGTTAATCTCTGTAATCAAGGGCTTCTTTCTTGCAACTCTCCTTTGATAGCCTCCGTCTTTCAGAGTCTTTCTCATCACATATGGCGACATTTCGATATTGTTGGCGAAATTTCCAAGTTGTTGGTGACATCTTTGACGCTCTGACGACGGTTTCTGATGAATTCCGTCTTCACAGATTTTACGTTCACTCATACACGATGCTTGGACATCATGAACTTTGTTCCATCCGACAATGGGCTTCTTCATTAAATTTCTTGACAATATGATTAAATGTTTGATGATTAACCTGGAAAAACCCAGCAATTTCTCTATTTGACTTGTCACAATGATGTTATCCTATTATTTGTCCTCGTTAAAATTCTTCATTTTCTTTACTTCTGCGAACTTTCATTGTAAAATATAAGTCAACAATCATTCATAGATGAGAGTAGCTTGATACTTACACGGTATTGTCTGAAAAAAAGAAGAGACGTTATTACACAAGCTAAAATTGCTGTAATCAAGGGTGGGTAAAAATTATCATAGCCCACCATGGACGTTATTTTTGTTTATTTTCTTTTTAACTGGTGAGGGTGATTGATATACACTTAAAAAAATCCGTGATGGGGTAGATTAGGCTTACGATAAATGAGTATAAATGCTAAGTCCCACCTTCTTTCGTTTATGTTCTTGTCGGCTTAAGATCGCGAAAATGCGAAACTCAAGTAGAGACTCGAGCTGTATCTCGTTGTGAGGTGATGATTTGAAGGGATTTTTTTTACTCTGTCTGGATAGCATAGGCTATGTACACTTTAATTCACTTCTTAAGTAGGTTTTTGCTTTTTGGTCATTTTTTTCTTTCCGAGTTTGGAATTTTTCTTCTAATCTTGTCTAAGTACTTTTTGTGATTTTGTTTTGTTTATAGTCTTTTGGCTGAAAGCCTGTTGGTTGCATCAGTATTTTTGGATTCTTGTATACACACAGATAAACATACATAAACGCACATAGAGACATACCCATATACAAACATTATTTTCATGGTGTAGTATATTCATGTTGTCAACAAGTATTTTCCTGTATTGTGAAGTTGGACAGGAATGTGTTGTTAAATGTTTCATAATAGAACTTGTTACCAATATACCACAAAAATAAGAAGAAGGATTTTTGAGGCCCTCTATATCGAAAGCAACCAACCAATACTCAACAAAATTCATTAACTGTGTAGGTGCAATGTATTGCAGTACACTTAACAAACATTTAATCCGTTTTGCATTTCTATCAATCTCTGGTCAGCTACCTTATATTGGGACGCTTGTTTTGCAAAGAATTCTATAGCTACAGAGGATAAATTTAAAATGTTAAAACAATTATAACGGAGCGCGTTCACGCATTTTTATTTATTTATTTATTCCAAATGCATTTTGGTTAAGGTCTTAAAGGGGCTTCAAATATGATTGAATCATATTTTATATATTTATATTTTAATTATAAAGATCTGAAATGTTATATTTATTATATTTAATGGTACTAATGGTACATTAGAAATGGCATTGTTAGAATTAAAATTTAAAATTTAGGAATTAAGTACACATTTTTTTTTAATTGTAATCAAATAATAGATATATAATTATGAAAGTTAAATTGATTATGTTTTAAAGTGAACATAATGCAATGCCTACAAAAAAAAACAGTTATTTCTTTTCGTTGATCTAATAAATCTTGATTTTTAAGAAACTTAATATATATCTCTTCATGTAGGCTCAAAGCACATGTGTCATTTAAAGACTTACAAGTTCTCGTTTTTTTTTTTTAAAATAATTTCCATTTTACTGTAGGGGTTTTATTTGTTTCTTATAAACAAAAAGTAAATAATCTTTTCTGAAGTTATTCAACATCGTTAGATAATGGAACAAAAATTTAAAATTTAATTTTAATTTATAGTTCCGAAACATAGTAATTTCTGTGTCACGATGAAAAAAATTTTATATATATATATATATATATATATATATATATATATATATATATATATATATATATATTATCAATTAACTGATTTAAAATATGTTTTTTTTCGCTACACAGTTCTAACCATGTTTCAAAAATGGAAGCTATATATATATATCGTTGAATATAACAGACAGCGACAACTTGATGGATTTTCTGTTGGGTTTTTCTGGTATTTTTAAGTTTTTCCGTTTGGTCGGGTAAAAAATGTCCGTAGTGTCTATTGTCCTAAGCGCTTTCGCTCACTTTTTTACCCATTTTGAAGGTTTTTTTGTTAAATTGTTAACTTCTTTAAATGGTTGTTTTTTAAGGTGTAATTGTGTGATGCATGTTGTTTGTTGTTATTAATTTCTTACCACGAACACAACAAATTGCGCGCGTGTGAGCGAATGATGTTTGTTCTTAATGTCCATTAAAACTGCGTGTACTGAACAAGAATACCTTCACCACAAAATCTGATGTCATGTCAGGTGATCAAATTTAAAAAAAAAAATCAGTAAGGACGAAAACATTTCCCGCTTAATAAATTGAAGAAAATTTACATTTTATGCATAAAAATGAAGGAAATATTTAAAAAAAAATGTATGGCTTAAACAAGGATTAAACTTTTATTAAAGGATTTATTTTTCTAAAGTAAGAGACAAGGGAATAAGTTCTTCGAATGCCAATTCCCAAGAAAACTTTGTTCTTCATTTTTAATCCAAAACAAGAAAACAAAAAACTACTTAAAACGCACGCATGACTAAAATTTTGATAAGAATTAATGCTTATTATGATAACGTTTCAAAAGTAAACACTTTTATTTAAAACTAAGTCGACCATACTTATATGGCCAAAACATATCTATCTATCTATCTATCTATCTATCTATCTATCTATCTATCACCACAAATAAAATATACAGCATATATAACATTATTTACATGTGCGCACACAGATATTTAATTTCAATTAAAAAAAAAATCACATTGAGTGCTGGTATTAATGAAATAGTGCTCGTTGCATAATTACAGATCTATTTATGTTAATAATAAATACACATTTGTTTCCATTTTATTTACTGCTTCACTATCATTATAATTAGGTATATATATATATATATATATATATATATATATATATATATTATTATATATATATTATTAATTTTCAGTCAGGAGGACCTAACGATTTTTTGTTGTGCATGGAAATTTAAGTTGTGCTACCGGTTAGGAAAAATTCATATTTATTATTAATCTATATTTTGGGAACATATTTTCTTTTAAACACTTCTGATTAAACAATTACGACATATTGTGTTTGTTTATTTTCAATAATATTGTTTCGTGATCAAGTATATTCATTGTTGCTTCTTCATTAAAAAGAGCAAGGAAGGTATCATGGCTATATTCATTTATTTTTATTTTCCGAATACTTTCGATATATTTCAATATCATATTAAGGGTTGGCTAAGACAAATAATTGTTGTGTTTGACCGACGTAAATTATTTGTCTCCGCCATCATAATACTAAAGATAATATTGGAATCTATTGAAAGTAGACAGGAAAATAAGAAATGAATAAATACAACCATGGTACCTTTCTTGCTCTCGTTAATCATGAATCAACATACATAATTACGAAATGACTTTATTGAAAAAAAAAAAAAGCACATGTTTAATTAATCGTACACACACACAAACAAACACAAACACACACACACACACACACAAACAAACACAAACACACACACACACACACATATATATATATATATATGAAAAAATATAGATTTAATGTGTGCTATATTTATGGGATAAAGTGCTCAATATCTGACATAGAGTGTATGTAAATATCAAGATAATAGAACATTGAAGTCAACAATCAGAGGCTTCTGAGTGTTGACTTCAATGTTCACCTATATATATATATATATATATATATATATATATATATATATATATATATATATATATATATATATATATATATATATATATATATAAATATCTTTTTATATATATATTATATATTTATAATATATTTTTATTTATCCATTATATATATATATATATATATATATATATATATATATATATATATATATATATATATTGTCTATTTGAGCATCAATCTCTTTCATATCAGTTTCTTTAAAAAAACGACTGACACGGTACTACGGTTATTTTTTATTTAATTTTTTGTGTTCTTATTTTTTTCTGGACATTAATTATATAGAAATTATACGAATGTTC